AACGCTTTAAAAATGCATTTACCTTTTTATTACTTGTCCCCTAGAAACCATCATGCCATCAGAAACTCTGTGGTTTTGCTTTCCAGAAGGCATAAAATAGCAGCACACAGAAAAGTCAACCTGTTATTAGCTTTGCCTGTTGAGTGTCTGCCTGTTGCACAACGTTTAACACTCAGAAATCCCTGTATGCTTTTGTATGGATTAAATGGGTGGGTGTGCCGTACTGCTTCGCATGTCGGGCCAGGCCTGGGTGTATCCTGGTCAGGATACCGAGAGCAAACAATAACAGAGGCTTAGTGGGCTCTTCTTTACCTCCACACCATTAAAGGCTTCGCTGACTCATTTCCACGCATAAGCCTCCACTACAGGGTCGGGGCGTTTTTCATTTTGTCACGTGTATATCATTCTCAATGTATATCATTCTCACTATCTGTGGATACTTAAATCTGGAGATTGGGACCATGGACAGAAGACAGATTTTTCTATAAAACCTGAGAAAAGCCCGTTTGCAGAAAAATCTGAAATCTAAAAAAGGGAGAGTTAACTCTCCCAAATGATACAAGCAGAGTCTGGAAGGAGGGTCTTAGTGGACCTTACACTGAACATGAGCCAGCAGTGTGATGCGGTAGCTAAAAAGGCAAATGCGATTTTGGGCTGTATCAGCAGAAGTATAGTGTCAGATCACGTGAGGTGATGGTACTGCTTTACTCTGCTCTGGTTAGACCTCACCGAGAGTGTTGTGTTCAGTTTTGGGCACCACAGTTTAAGAAGGCTACAGACAAGCTGGAAGGTGTGCAGAGGAGGGCAACGAAGATGGTGAGGGGTCTGGAGACCAAGTCCTCTGAGGAAAGGCTGAAGGAGCTGGGTATGTTTAGCCTGGAGCGGAGGCGACTGAGAGGGGATAGGATCACCAACTCCAAGTACTTGAAGGGCTGCCGTGTAGAGGATGGGGCGGAGTTGTTTTCTGTTGCCTTTTTCGGCTAAACATTAGGAAGAACTTCCTGACAGAGCAGTTCCTCAGTGGAACAGGCTTCCTCGGGAGGTGGTGGGTTCTCCTCCTTTGGAGGTTTTCAAACGGAGGCCATCTGGCCATCTGACAGCATTGCTGATTCTGTGAACTTGGGCAGAGCAGGAGGGGAGGAAGGGTTGCCTCAGTGCTTAGTTCTCGTGGCCCTTTCTTGCACGCCCAGGGAAATGCTGATGGCCACTTTGGGGTCAGGAAGCAATCCTGGAGGGTTTTTGTCATCTTCTGGGCACAGAACAGGGGTCACTGCGGGTGTGGAGGGGGAGGTGTTTGTGAATTTCCTGCCTTGTGCAGGGGGTTGCACTAGGTGACCCTGGAGGTCCCTTCCAACTCTGTGATTCTAACTCTTAACAGTAGCTCCTCAACAGATAACTAGTGATCAGTCAGAAGTCCTCCCAGGCAAAATCCCCACCCGCTTTCTAAAAACATTTGACCTGCACCAGGAAAGGTCTTAGCATGATTCTAACTCTTAACAGTAGCTCCTCAACAGATAACTAGTGATCAGTCAGAAGTCCTCCCAGGCAAAATCCCCACCCGCTTTCTAAAAACATTTGACCTGCACCAGGAAAGGTCTTAGCAGGCATCTTGGCACCCATGGGCAATGGGTTGGGGACCCTTTGTTTAAGTGCTCAGATTTCTCTGGGTTTTGAATGGGCACCCTACCCCAGCCCAGGGCTATTTTGGGGCAGGAACGCACAGGAACAGAGTTCCGGCTGGCTCCCGAGTTGGCCACACCCAGCAGGAACTCATTAGCATAATAGGCCACACCCAACAGCAGAAACTCATTAGGATTGGCTACGTTAGGGGTGTGTGGCCTAACATGCAAAGGAGTTCCTGCTAAACAAAAAAGGCCCTGGGTTTTGACAACAAACAAGGTAAACAGAATAAGAAGCAAAAGGTGGGTGTGGCTGGATGACCACACTTCTGGTAACGTGGGGGGTGCGGCCTAATATGGTAATGAGTTTCTGCTGTTGGGTGTGGTCTATTATGCCAATGTGTTCCTGCTGGACTTTTTCTACAAAAAGAGCCCTGCCCCAGGCTGTACATTTTGCAACCAGGGCAGATTAAAGGAGGGGGATTCCTTCTCATATAAATATATCCCTTTTGCTTTTCCAGCATGTGTTTTACTTTGACGAAGTCTTTGGGGAGGCATGTTCCAATCAGGATGTGTACATGAAGACCGCTCATCCCCTCATCCAGCACATATTCAATGGGTAGGGCCTCATCGTGTGCTTTTTGCTTACGGTAAAGTCTCCGTTGTTTTCGCACGTCGCTTGTTTTATGTTCCCCCTTCTCCCTTGGTTTTGCTTTCATGCAGACTTTCGCAAGCATGACCTCTTGCACATTATCCCATTACAGGAGCAGGATTTCTTAACTGTGGATGTTCTAGCTGCTTACCTTGAATACTTCCTTGCAAAGAAATATCACAAATAATGTTTGCATTTTGTGGCTATGTAACCCACTGCTCACAATTTGTTTTGTACGTATGTGTGTATACACACACACACACACACACACAGAGTTTGCTGGCTTCAGAATTTGCTTCATACAACTGCAGAAGTGGACTCTACCTCCTACCTCACAAGGTGCCTGTTAAGCTGAGTTAGTGTGAGCCAGCTCACAGTTTTTTAGCCTCTGGCTCACACATTTTTCTCTTCGCTCAGGAAGGGAGGGCTTCAGAGCAAACCAATTCATGCAGCAGCCAAATCGCTCGCTCACAACTTTAACGCCAGTAGCTCACAAAGTAGAATTTTAGTTAGTGGTGAGGAGCAGCAGACTCTTATCTGGGAGAACCGAGTTCGATTCCCCTTTCCTCCCCCCCCAGATGCAGCTGCTGGTGTGACCTTGGGTCAGTCACAAGTTCTCTCAGAGCTGTTCTCTCAAGGCCAGTTCTCAAGAGAGCTCTCTCAGCCCCTCCTACCTCACAGGGTGTCTGTTGTGGGGAAGGGAAGGGGAAGGGATTGTAAGCCTCTCTGAGACTCCTTCGGGTAGTGAAGGGCGGGGCATAAATCCAATCTCCTCCTCGGCAAGAGAGGCCAGCTGTGTCGGTCAAAGAGCTGGATTCCAGTCCTGTAGCAGCATAAGAGACCAACAAGAGTTTCCGGGTATGAGCTTTCGAGAGTCGGAGCTCTGCTCGTCAGACACCTCCTGGACCCAGATCTATTTATTTATTTATTTATTTATCTATCACATTTTTACCCCACTCTCCCGCCAAGGCAGCTCAGGGCGGCTTACAAATAATACCAGTATACAATTAAAACCAGTTATTACAACTAATACAATGTCATACCATAAAACCATAAAACATTACAATGAATTCAACCTGTTGAGATTTGGCGGCCATCCGTATAAAGTGCTAGTGCTTATGTGGCGCGGCCAGTGTGGCCAGGGCTATTAGAACGCTTGTCGGAACAGCTCGGTCTTCACCGCTCTACGGAATTGTTGAAGATCCCGCAGAGCTCGAATTTCAGTTGGGAGCTCGTTCCATAGCGTCGGTGCAGCAAGGTGGAACGCCCTGGTTCTTGTTGCTGTTAACTTAGCATCCCTAGGGCCAGGGGGGACCAGGCGGTTTTGTGTCCCGGATCTCAGTGCTCTCGGGGGAACATATGGGGAAAGGCGGTCCCTCAGGTAGGCAGGCCCCAGACCATTAAGGGCTTTAAAGGTCAAAACCAGCACCTTGGCGCGTATCCGGAATGCTATTGGCAGCCAGTGCAGCGACCTCAGCACAGGTTGGATGTGCTCCCTCACGGGGAGACCCATCAACAACCTGGCCACAGCATTCTGCACTAGCTGCAGCTTCCGGAGTTGCCCCAAGGGCAGCCCCATGTAGAGAGCATTACAGTAGTCCAACCTCGAGATGACCATAGCGTGGATCACTGATGCCAGATCGTTGCGTTCGAGGAAGGGGACCAACTGTCTAATCAGCCGAAGGTGGTAAAATCTAGTCCTCCAGCAAGATGCCACCTTCACTATCTCAGAGACATTTATCTGAACGTTACGGCTTTACATAAAGATTGCTGTTTTGGGTTTGTTTGTTTTTAATAAGGTAATTGCTTTCCTTGTGTTACAGCGGCAACGCCACTTGCTTTGCGTATGGGCAGACTGGGGCCGGCAAGACCTACACTATGATCGGCTCGCACCAAAACCCGGGGCTGTACGCCCTGGCGGCCAGAGATATCTTCCGACACTTAGAAACATCCCAGGCCGGGAAAGACCTTCACGTCTGGATTAGCTTTTACGAGATCTACTGCGGGCAGCTTTACGACTTGCTAAATGGAAGGAAGAGGTACTTGGAGTAGGCACAGCCTTTGCGACAAGGACCGTAAATCAGAGGGAGCCAAGTAGAACTAGATCAAGACCTGTTAGTCTGTCTGTAGCAGTAGAGAAGAGCAAGAGCCCAGCAGCACCTTAAAGACTAGACAAAATTTGTGGCGGGGCAGGAGCTTCCGTGAGTCACGGCTCACTTCTTCAGATACAGCTAGAATCCGAGTCCATCTGTCCTTATATCTCAGGGTTGATGGCTGAATGTGGTGCCTTCCAGATCAAGATGGGCAGCCATGTTAGTCTGTCTGTAGCAGCAGAAAAGTGCAAGAGTCCAGGAGCACCTAAAAGACTCGCATCAGTGACTCACGGAAGCGCATTTTGTTGTTGTTCAGTCGCACAGTCGAGTCCGACTCTTCGTGACCCCATGGACCAGCTCCCGCCAGGCCCTCCTGTCTTCCGCTGTCCTCTGACGTTTGCTCAATTTCATGTTCGTTGCGTCGATGACACTGTCTAACCATCTCATCCTTTGCCGTCCCCGTCTTCTTTGACCTTCAATCTTTCCCAGCATCAGGGTCTTCTCCAGGGAGGGCTCCCTTCTCATTGGGTGGCCAAAGTATTTGAGCTTCAGTTTCATTATCTGGCCTTCCAGGGAACAGTCAGGGTTGATTTCTTTTAGGATTGACTGATTGGATCTCCTTGCAGTCCAGGGGACTCTCAAGAGTCTTCTCCAGCACCATAGTTCAAAAGAATCTATTCTTCGGCGCTCGGCCTTCCTTACAGTCTAGCTCTTGCAGCCATACATGACTACTGGGAATACCATTGCTTTGACCATGCGCATACCCTGCCACAAATTTTGTTCGTCTTTAAGTTGCTCCTGGACTCTTGCTCTTTCCAAGTTGAATTAAAGTTTCTTAAAAGACAGACATCTGGAATGCATGCATGTGTATGTACCCATGCTCATTAGAGTGGCTGATGAATATCTGGGAGTCCAAGGTTCAGATCTCCACCCTGTGAGGGGAGCTTGCTGCGTGACCTTGGGCCAGTCGCTGGCACTCAGTCTAATCTATTCTACAGGGTTGTCTGTTTACAAAAATTGTACCCTGCCTTTCTTCACTCCCAAGGGCCACCAAGTCAGCCAACCCTCTAAAATACACATGATAAAATCACAATTTTAAAACCGTTGAAACAAAAACAAAACACACATCGTTAAAACGATTAAAAGGCAAAGTTAAAATGCACGCAAAGCAATTAAAAACAGCAATTAAGACATTGGTTAAGAAGGACGGATCATTGGGGGAAAGCCAAAAGAAACAGAAAAGTCTTGACCTGCTGGCGGATGGCGGCAACAGAAGGGGACAGATTTTATTTTTGGTTTATTTAATTCATGTGTATCCTGCCTGTCTCCCCCACGGGGCCCCAGAGAGGCTTACATCATTCCCTTCTCCTCCATGTTATCCTCACACCAACCCTGTGGGGTAGAGCAGGCTGAGAGAGTGTGGCTGGCCCAAGATCAGTAATATGTGCCCCTCATAAACCTAATTGCTGGCCAGGTATATCGCCTACCCCCTCCTCCCATTCGACCCTCCTGGCAAGCACTTCTAACTCCTTAACATTCTCTGCGCCGGGCCGATAATGCGGTTCGCTCACGTTCTTGTTTCTCGGCAAGGTGACCTGAGACTTGAATCAGACATTTACATGCTAAAGGAACCGCTTAGCGATTTTGAACAGGGAAAGTGACCGGGAGGAGGCCCTAATGGGAGGGGAAACGCAAACACTCCGCCATCTCTCTGGATTATTAGCTCTGAAGCCAGTAGATGACAATTTAAATATCAACATAATTAACTTTCCCTCCGCTGCTGATTGTCCTAGCTGATATATTCAGCAAACGTGTGCCGCCCCTGAACTTTCAAGTGTGAAATGAAATGATCCCATCCACCCTCCCCAGGAAATCTCAACTATACAATCAATCTGCGTTAGAATGCAGTGGACTATACATCCAGATAAATACAATAAACTAACTTCTGACTGATGGTTGGGAGCCGTCGGCCGTGGACCTCGAGCCCAGCTGGAGTCGTCTCACTGTTGCCTTACAAGGGTTTCGCAGAGGCAGATCCGTGGCTGCCAACCGGACATTCACGCATATGCACAGAATTCAGTGTACCGAGGCCCTGTGTGTCTCCTGTATGAACTGTACTCCTCAGTAAGGAAGCAGTAGGTGGTCGTTACGAAGCAAACAAGTCCATCTCCTTGCTAATCTAAGGTTTCCTCTGCAGGCTTTTTGCCCGGGAAGACAGTAAACACGTCGTGCAAATAGTCGGGCTGCAGGAAGTCCACGTGGATACCGTCAGCTTGCTTCTAGAGGTAATTCTGACTTGCGGGGTGGTGCCTTCTAACTCGGGAGGTTCTCGATGCACAGAGAGGGGACTGCAGAGCCCGCCAACCCGTCATCCTAAGATCAAAATTGCAAATTAACTAAATGCAATCGATCTTATAAGGGTCTGCCCTTAGACCTGCTGTCTCTCAGTGTGATTAAGAGTATCCTATTTCCCCCCATTCAGCTTCTGAAAGAGCCAGTTTGGTGTAGTGGTTAAGTTCGCGGACTCTAATCTGGGAGCATGCCAGCCACACAGTCTAACAATACAGGAACTTGTGGATTTTGATTCCCCACATGCAGCTGTTGGCATGACCTTGAGTCAGTCACAAGTTCTGATCTCCAAAGAGCAGTTCTCGAAAGAGCTCTCTCAGCCCCACCCTACCTCACAGGGTGTCTGTTGTGGGGAGGGGAAGGGAAAGGAGATTGTAAGCTTCTCTGAGACTTGGTATAAATCCAATCTCCAATCTCCTCCCCCTCCTCCTTTCCATTTTTAAAACAAATTATAGATCGTGCATGAAGGAGAACGGTCTTTGCAAAGCTCCTGAGAATGACCCTGCTGGCTCAGCTGTCAGGGGTACCTTTGCTGAAAGCCAGTTTGGTGTCGTGGTTAAGTGCGCAGGCTCTAATCTGGGAGGAACTGGGTTTGATTCCCCACTCCTCCACTTGCACCTGCTGGATGACCTTGGGCAAGCCGTAGTTCTGTCAGAGCTGTTAACGCAAGGGCACTTCTCTCAGAGCTCTCTCACCCCCGCCTACCTCACAGGGTGTCTGTTGTGGGGAGGGGAAGGGAAAGGAGTTTGTAAGCCGCTCTGAGAGTCCGAGTGAAGGGTATGAGTCCAATCTCCTCTTCTTCTTCTTGCTTGACTTGTGCTCTCTCAGCTGAGCACTGTGAGTGAAAACCTTCTGGATGAAACCAAGTAGGCAGCCAGTTCTAGTGAGGAAATGTTGCCCACAACTGAGTTGATGCGTATAGTAAGGTGCTCTTGAGCAGTACACTTGCCACATGACGGCGGGGTACATGGTAAGAACATAAGAGACGCCAATGTTGGATCAGGCCAATGTCCCATCCAGTTCAACACTCTGTCACACAGTGGCCAGAAATACCAGGTGCCATCAGGAGGTCCAGCAGTGGGGCTAGGACACTGGAAGCCCCCCCACTGTTGCCCCCCCCCCAAGCACCAAGAATACAGAGCATCCCTTGCCCCAGACATAAGAACATAAGAGAAGCCAATGTTGGATCAGGCCAAAGGCCCATCCAGTCCAACACTCTGTGTCACACAGTGGCCAGAAATACCAGGTGCCATCAGGAGGTCCAGCAGTGGGGCCAGGACACTAGAAGCCCTCCTACTGTTGACCCCCCCCCAAGCACCAAGAAGACAGAGCATCACTTGCCCCAGAGTCCCTATCTATACCTTGTGGCTAATAGCCACTGATGGACCTTTGCTCCATATGCTTAGGTCCATCAGGTAGAAGCAGCTTGGAGTTGGGGGGCTTTAAGGTTTTAATTGTTCTGAATATGTGACTCTTCACAAGACAGTGAAAGGAAGGGTAGAGCACCGTGATATCCAGAGAGCCACATTTAGTCAGTTTCACCCCCGAGGATTACGCTTAATTCGGTGCTCGCTCACGCAAGGCTGGCTCTTTGGGATCTGGGGTCTCTGGCGTTTAAAGTTTGGTGTCGCGGTTAAGTGCGCGGACTCTAACCTGGGAGAACCGGGTTTGATTCCCCACTCCTCCACTTGCACCTGGCTGGATGACCTTGGGCAAGCCGTAGTTCTGATAAGAGCTGTCCTTGAAAAAGAGCAGTTTCTGTCAAGAGCTCTCTCAGCCCCGCCTACCCCACCTACCTGGTTTGACGCTGAGGAGAAGGAGATTGGATTTATACCCTGCCCTTCACTCAGAGTCTCAGAGCGGCTTATAATCTCCTTTCCCTTCCCCTCCACTTTGGTGTCGTGGTTAAGTGCGCGGACTCTAATCTGGGAGAACTGGGTTTGATTCCCCACTTGCACCAGGCTGGATGACCTTGGGCAAGCCGTAGTTCTGATAAGAGCTGTCCTTGAAAAAGAGCAGTTTCTGTCAAGAGCTCTCTCAGCCCCACCCACCTCACAGGGTGTCTGTTGTTGTGGGGAGGGGAAGGGAAAGGAGTTTGTAAGCCTCTCTGAGACACTTTTGGGTAGTGAAGGGCGGGGTATAAATCTAATATCTTCCTCTCTTCTTCTAAAGCAAGAGAAAGTTTGAAGTGGCCGAGTACAAGGGATTGAGAATAAAACGGCCAATATTGTAGTGCGCCTGTAAAGATCTGTGGTGCGGCCTCATTCGGAATAGCGTGTACAGTTCTGGTCACCATATCTCAAAAAGGACTTTACAGAGCTAGAGAAAGTACAGAGGAGGACAAACAAGATGACGAGGGGGTTGGAGCACCTTCCCTGTGAGTAAAGGCTGAAGAGTCTCTGGGACTTTTCTGTTTAGAAAAGAGATGACTGAGCGGGGACACGATAGAGATAGTATAACATCTCCCCGTGGTGGAGAGAGTTGGCAAAGGGAAATTTTTCTCCCTTTCCCAAAAGACTAGAACTCGAGGGCATCCAATGAAGCTGATGGGCAGTAGGTTCAGGACGGACAAAAGGAAATACCACTTTACCCAGAGAGTGATAAAAATGTGGAATTCGCTGCCAGTAGTGCTGGCCACAGGCATAGACAGCTTTCAAAGAGAATTAGATAGATTCGTGGGAGGATAAGTCTACCAATGGCTTCTACCCATGGTGGCTGAGGGGAACCTCCATGCTTAGAGGCACTAATCCTCTGGATCCCACAGCCAGGAGGCAACATGAGGGGAAGGCCTCGGCCTCCCTGTCCTGTTCTTGGCCCTGCAGAGGAACTGGTTGGCCACTGTGTGAGAGAGGATGCTGAACTAGGTAGACCAACCTGATCCTGCAGGACTCTTCTTCTTATGTTCTTATGATTCCAAAACCTCTTAAGCAGGTCTGCTCAGAAATAAGTACCATCTTTAGTCAATGGGGCTGACACCCAGGAAAACGCTCTTTGGGTTACAGACTTTGTGCTCTGCCAGTTTCTGAGCCTTTTCAGCTTCTGGTTCACAAACCTTTGAAGAGGGAAAACGAAGGGGAGGGGGGGGGGGGGCGGCGGCAAGTAGAAGCCGTTCCGTTCACGCGCAGCCTTCACAAAAGACAATTTGTTTGTTCAGTTACTTGTTCATTTCCACTGTGTACTTATTCCACATGAACGACGTTTTGAAGGGTTTTTGCTGCCAGCCTAAGCCAAAATGACCTTGGTTGGGTATAAAGCAGGTAATTGCCTTTCAAGATCTTCCTCTTGGTTTTGTGTTGATGCGTGCTTTAGCTTGACGATAGTAAAACTTTGGATCCAAACCCAAGAGTGTTTCTCAGCAATTAGCCACCCACCGCCCGGTGTCTGGTAAAGCAGCAAGCAGTTCAATAGAAAATGGGTAGAGAACGACTTTTTTAGAACAGAAAAAAGAAGAGAAGGAGAGAGAGAACTAAAAATAACCACCGCGCCGCTTATTGAAATTCTGACAGAATGAAATTGGATTAAAATTAATATAACATTTCTTTGGAGAAACAGAGCGGCTGGATTTTGCTCCCTGCTTGCCGTCAGATGTCGGACGCTTCGGGAATCCTTCCCTGGCAAGCTGGCCAGCAAGCCGGCCCGTTCATGGCCATCACTCCTTTCCTAGAGTTGCCCACACAGGCTGCGTGCTTTACAGAAAACACAGGCGAGAGAGAGGCCTCGCCCATGGGTCTATAATCCAGGGTCAGAGGAGAGTTGAGGGAAGTATTGGGTGTTGTAAATAAGAAGCGGGAAACTGACCAGTTATGAAGGTGCACAGAGAGTTTATAAAGGTGAATATATATAGAGATATTTACAGGTTATTGAACAGCATGTCGCGCCTTAGTGTATGAGAACTAAGTCCCCACCAGCTTACTAAACTGATAGTTATTATGCTAAACCCCAGCCAATCTCTAACAGGGTGATGCAATCAGTAACTCTAACAAGCCCTGAAAGAGTAACACCTGCTAGAATACACCTGGCTGCAATTACATCATTACTAGCATGACAGCTAGGTCTGACAAACAGATCAAACTGATCTATAGTAACTGCTTGCTACCTCTATTACTTTGACATATATCTCAATAGGAAGTGGTTTTATCCATCTGTCTAATATCGAAGCGCTGTCAAGTCGCAGCCAACTTCTGTCGACCCCGTAAGGTTTTCAAGGCAAGACATGAACAGAGGTGGCTGGCCGTTGCCTGCCTCTGCGTAGCAACCCTGGGCTTCCTTGGTGGTCTCCCGTCCAAGGACTAGCCAGGGCAGACCCTGCATTGCTTCCGAGGTCTGAGAAGATTGGGCTAGCCTGGGCCATCCAGGTCAAGGCAAGAGACATGCAGAGGTGGTTTGCCCTTGCCTGCCTCTGCATAGCGACCTTGGGCTTCCTCTGTAGTCTCCCATCCAAGTGCTTACCAGGGCCGATCCTGCTTCGCTTCCAGGCGCTGTCAAGCTCAGGCTTGTCAGAGCTATTCAGCTGCCCTGACTAGTAGTAACACTTTATCGTGTCCTTCCTCCAAGGAGTTCAGAACAGCATTCACCGTTTTCTCCGTTTCCTTCTCCCGGCAAAGGAGTCTAGGCCCACTAGAGCAGTGGTCACTACAGAGTACGTGGGTTGGATCTGGGGTCCCCCACCTACAGATGTGAAGGCTCGGAAAAATTGGGGGGGGGGGGAACGGTTTTTCCCCGTTTTTTCCCCCTGAAGCCTTTTTTGTTTCCCCCCCCCAAAAAAAAAAATTGGAAAAATTGAAAAAGGTCAGACATGAACCAACGGGTTGAAATTAAATCAAAGGAGTTTTCAGCTAAATATTAGGAAGAACGTCTTGACAGTTAGAGTGGTTCCTCAGTGGGACTGGCTTCCTCGGGAGGTGGTGGGCTCTCCTTCTTTGGAGGTTTTCAGACAGAGGCCAGATGGCCACCTGACAGCAATGCGGATTCTGTGATCACGAGAGGGAGGGCGGGGAGGGTTACCTCAGTGCTTAGTTCTCGCGGCCCTTTCTTACACGCCCAGGGAAATGCCAATCACCAGTTTTGGGTCAGGAAGCAATTTTTCTCCAGGCCAGTTTGGCTGGAGATCCTGGAGATTTTTTGTCATTTTCTGGCCGTGAAACAGGGGCCACTGGGGGAGTGTGAGGGAGGTATTTGTGAATTTCCTGCATTGTGCAGCGGGTTGGACTAGATGACCCTGGAGGTCCCAACTGTGTGATTCTATGCTGAAACGACTCTGTGGTGCTGGTTCAGCGGGTAGTCTTGGTCCAGCAGCAGACTGGCCTGGAGTTTGGACCTCAGAAAGGGCCTTTTCCTGCCACCCCTCCTCCCCCAGTTGCACGTGGCTCCCCTGAGTCTCCAGCAAGGCTACCTCTAAAGCTGTGGGGTCTCGTGAGCAAAAATCCTGCTTTGTGAGCGGCCGGCATTGAAGTGGTGAGCGAGCCGTTTGGCTACTGCATCAATCAGTTTGCTCCGGAGCCCTCCTTCCTGAGCTAGGACAAAAGTGTGTGAGCCAGAGGCGTAAAAACTGTGAGCTAGCTTACACTAGCTCAGCTTAGAGGGAACACTCCTCTCTCACTTGATAAATAAATATACAAAAAGAGGAAAGGCCAAGCTTTATGCTGCCTTTCTGGACTTTAAAGGGGCCTTCTAGTTACACCTATCAGCTTCTACTGGAATCTAATGACTCTAACTGGATTACCTATATAGAATCCAAAATTAAATCCCTGGATATCACCTTAGATTCCTTACTCCTGAATCTGAGGCTTTTTCCATTATAAGAGCCAATCTACTTTGTTCTGAGCTACATTCACTGTATAATGCTGCTAATAAAACCTGTTCACCCCTGTATTTTGGAATATCTCCTAAAGTCGGCCAACCTGCCTCTTACCTGTACCAACTTCACACCCCCAAACTCCGTAGAGCCCTCTCTTTGGCGAGA